CACTCCTGAGGGACTCAGCAGACCCTCCGCGCGCGCGCACACATACACCCAGGCCCTCTGCACGCACACATACACCTTTTGGCTGCCCTGGAGGCACCTGCCCTGGAGAGGGCAGCCAGAGGGCCTCCAAAGGCTGAGGAACCATTGGAAATTACGGTTCAGTGAGCACTTTGAAGCAACTTTCCAGAACTGGGCATAAACTTGCCTGGATCCTTTCTTCCATTCCCAGCCTGGCCACCTGAGTTCAACGTTTGCAGGAGTGTAAAAGCTTCCTACCCACTCCCAGAACCCCTAAGGAGTTCAGGAGCTTTTGTGGCTTAATATTATTTAATTAAACTTTCCTCAAAGAAATCACACTCAGAGCACAGCTTAAGTTTTATTTTAATTCTGCAGTGACTTAACATTGGTCCTCTCCCTAGATTTCTTGCTCTGCTGGTTTTTCTTTTCCTATCACCCTCCACCCTGCTCCCAAGGATGGGATGCAGGCATTCTACCACTAGAGTAGGACAGGAGACAGATGAGCCCAATATATGGGCACAGCAACCAGCCAAGATTCAGGAAGGACTTTATTTCTGACAGAATTAGAATATTTAAGGTGACACAAGACAGGGCCCTGACACTGAACCTAGACATCACCATTCGAAAGTAACTTTGCAGGGAGTGTTTAATGATGAGGGGCTGATGCTCACATTCTAACATCAGGAAAAACTGTAAGGAATGAGGGTGAGGATAGGGGTGGGGAGGGGGAGAGTACAAGGAAAAAAAATAGTGCTTTTTCAGTACAGCAGGATGTGGATTTTCTTCTTTATGCTTTTCTGCATTTTCTATCCAGCGCTTTTTACCTCATTATCATGTTTTTCACATAGACCAAATTCAACATGTCCTTCAAAGCCCAAGCTCCTGTCTCCATCTCCCTGTATCCTCACCCACTTGCTCTACACTCCTAACCCCAAATGCCTCTGTTCCCAGATTCTGCCTCCAAATGTCTGTCCCTCTAAAGACATTGTCAGCAAGCACAGGTATATTTTTTAAAAATCAATCGTAGTTCAGGCTTCTCGTGAGAAATCAGAAGACCTGCTCCAGGATTCCCACATGACAACAACCGCTATCCCCTTTAGGCCAGCATTCTTTATAGGTCCGCCTCCCCCAGCACAGCCTGTTGTCTCTGCAACCTGGAAGCTGAGAATTAGGTGATTTGTTTTTCAATAGAGAACTCTCCATTTTCATTATCATTGGAGAAATAAAAGGTAAGTCAAGAGGTCCATCTTCCTCAAGAAAAATTAGAAATAGCCTTTCTTTATGAAATAAAGGCTTCTCCTACATATTTAATAAGCTAACAGGCCTATTTCATTCATTTCCATCAATTGCCTGACCTCTGACCTAGATGGTGGCCGAAATGCCTTTCCAAGTTGGATGCTCATGTCTCTGCATGTGCTGGGCAGTCCCTGGCATAAAATGAGAGTGGAAGAGAGCCTCTCTGACCCATGCCCTGGCACCTGCTCCTCCACACTATCAGGTAAACTGGAGTTTTGGTATTAATAATACTAGTCTGCAGCCTTGACCTTGGAGAAATCAGAGAAATGAACAGTGCCTACTACAACCCCAGGACTGCAAGCCAGGAAACAGTCACCCCACCTGCACTGGGCTGCATAATACTTGGGGCTGCAAGTAACCAAAGACTCAACTAAAAGTGGCCTAAATGAATAGAGATGCAGCCTTCCTGAGCATGTGAGAAGTAGCACCACTGCAGAAAGAATGGGGAATTACTGCTGGCTGGACAATCCATGGCATTTTGCACTCTACCTACATACTCTTTAAGCCCCCCTCAACTGTATCTGCCTCTGGCATCCCACTCCAGAAAGCCCCCCAAATCTTTTGAACCCAGAGGGCTGATTGCCTGAAGGTTGTCTTTATAATTAATAATTCAATCTTGTGGCATGGCTTGACTATATTTGACAAAGACAAGTCAGCTCTCAGATAACAGCTGATGAATGGATAAAAGAAAAAAAAAACAAATGAATGAGTGATTCTATGACTAAATGGACTGGAGAAGGATTTGACTGGAAGAAGCCATCAGGCCAATGCATTCATTCAGGAAAGGGAGAAAGGACAGACTAAACCAGGGTTAATAAGGATAATATACAGTATATTTAGAGATATGTGGCAACATCTAGTCACTGGTGGCATGTTGTGATGCGAAGAGGTTGGAAGGAGTTGACAAGGCCTCAGTTTCCAGCTTGAACTTTGTAATTCTATTCTTGGGAGATGCAAGTCAGGGTATTTCAGGGCCTTAACCTCCCTCTTACTGCCATTTCTCACTAATGCTTTAGGTACAAGAGGATGCTTTCTGGAGAGCAAGATAAAGAGCTCAGTAACGATATTAGAGTCAAGATTGTGGCAATGGGGCAGAGAGCAAATGCCAAGAGGACTGATATTTGGATTAAATCCGATCCCTGGAAACTTCCTGAATGCAAAACACTTGCTCAGGTCCCTTGGAAAGAGAGAACCTCTCCGCTGCTGGGCTGGATTGCTGTCATCTAAATTCTGGTCCAGAGTCAACATCCAGGCAAAGGACATAGCTCCACAAATGAGCCCTGCAAAGCACTGGGGTCACATGCTGCTGGGGAGGGAGGAGGGGTGGTTCGGAGCACTACAGCAGAAAGTATTATAGGCTGGGAAGAGCCCCAAACTTTTAATTAAATGAAATCAGATTGACCCAACCACTGTATTTTACATTTCTCTAGCTTAAAAAGAGGAACACAGAGGATGTGGGAGATCGTGCTCCATGGTTTGAAGTGCAGGAGGAACTACACCAAAATTATTTCCAATTCAGTTGAAATGTCTCTAAAATGGAAATGTTGACTGGACCTGTCACTTATAATCAGAAAGACCTCCCTCCCAATGAATAAATCTCACCTATGGGAATTAAAGTTGGCCCACGTTCCTGGCAGAATGAGTCTATGTCAGCCACCCTTCTGAAAAGGCTCCCTATTCAGAATGTAAGGCTTTCCTCCTTTCCATTGCCCCTTCAAGCTCTCTGTTCTCTGGCCCAAACAATCTTAATTCATTTTGCTTTTCTAAATCCACTCCCTTAATCATTTTCGCTCATTTCTGTGGCTTGCTTCCTGTTTCTCTTCGGTGCACCTCCAAATTGCTTCAGTAACATGTCAGAGGCCCAAGCCATCCTGGAGGCAGTGAGGAAATTGCCGTACATTTTTCTGCCATTCTGGATTCCTTTTCCCTGAAAAACAGGCAAAGGGTATAAGCAGGCTTCTCAGGGCCAATAACATATTCCCAATTTTACTAAAAAAGATTCGCAAATTTAAATATAGGTGTGTTGTTGTTTTTGTTATTGTTTGTTGTGTTTTGTTTTTTTCAGCTCTGACTGGGTATTTCAGTTGGGTAGAACATCATCCCAGTACATCATCCCAGGTTCTGGGTTTGATTGATGGTCAGGGCACATCTGAGAATCAACCAATGGATGCATAAATAAGTGGAACAACAAATAAAAATAGATATAGAAATGTTTCTCTATATCTATCTAGCTCTCTCTCTTTCTCTCTCTCTCTCTCTCTCTCTCTCTCTCTCTCTCTCTCTTATTTTCGTGTGTGTATGTGTGTGTAAAAAAAATCAATAAATAAAATAGAGCATTTTTCACTTATTTGATAAGCAAAGCTAAAAGTTTTTCTTAACGTTCAGTGTTGGGGGATTTTTCAAATTCTAATAGAACTAGAAATTCATGCATGGCAGGGGGTGTCCCTCAGCTCAAACTGCACCCTCTCCAATTTGGGATCACTCAAAGGATATCAAACTTCCCACTGGGATTGGGCCTAAACTGGCAGTTGGACATCCCTCTCACAATCCAGGACTGCTGGCTCCCAACTGCTTGCCTGCCTGCCTTCCTGATTGCCCCTAACCACTCCCCTGCCAGCCTGATTGATGCCTAACTGCTCCCCTGCGAGCCTGTTTGCCCCTAACTTCCCTCCCCTGCAGGCCTGGTCCCCCCAACTGCTTTCCCCTGCAGGCCTAGGTCCCCCACAACTGCCCTTTCCTGCAGGCCCCATCACTCCTAACTTCCCATCTCTGCTGGCTGGTCACTCCTAACTGCTCTCCCCTGCTGGCCATCTTGTGCTAGCCATCTTGTGTCCACATGAGGGCAGGATCTTTGACCACATGGGGCCAGCCATCTAGTGTGTTGGAGTGATGGTCAATTTGCATATTATTATTTTAATAGATAGGATAGAAATCTGGTGCATGGGTGGGAGCCAGCTGGTTTACCCTGAAGGGTGTCCCAGATCAGGGTGAGGGTTCCCTCGGGGCATGGGGCAGCCTGGGCAAGAAGCCTGTGGTGGTTTGCAGGCCAGCCACGTGCTCCAGAGACCCAAGTGGAGGCCCTGGTATCTGGGATTTATTTATCTTCTACAATTGAAACTTTGTAGCCTAGAATGGAGCCAAGCCTTCTGCTTACTCCGTGGCAGCAACCATTTATGTTGGGATTGATTTATCTTCTATAATTGAATATTAGTAGCCTTAAGCAGAGGCCTGGGCAAGCCAAGGTGTGCAGAAAGCTTGGCTCCCTCCATCACTGGGGAAACCCAAGCCTCCCACCTGCTCTCTCCATGGCTGCAGCCATTTTGGGTTAATTTGCATACTTGCTCCTGATTGACTGGTGGACATGGCTGGTGAGTGTAGCAGAGTGATGGTTAATTTTCATATTACTCTTTTATTAGATAGGATTTGGAAGGAACTGTGTGGCAGGGAGGGAATAACGACATTTGTACATAATATAAGATATGTAATTGTCACCCTTCTATTCCACTTTTGTAATTTTATTCTTCAGAAATATTAGCACAAATGTTAAAGATATATGAGAAGAGTTGTAGTATTTGTTTGTTGTAGGAAAAATGGAAACAACCTAAACATCCAATAATAGAGACAAGTTAAACAAATAATGGAGAGGAAGGGACACTGGGGTCTCAACACAGCTGAGGTGACGAGAGATGGCGGTGGCAACCTCAGGAACTGGTCGCTGTCAGCTAAACAAGGTGGGAGCTCTCCAGCACCAGCCTCCAACTGGCTGTGTGGCTGAGGCCATTTGTAGATGGAACATTTGGAGCAAACTATACCCCCTGCATACGGGGCCTGGACAGCTATTCTCTAGAGATTGCCACCTGAAGGAACCCCAGGAGACTCTCAATACCAGTGTGATGTCTTCTATGGAGAGAGGAGTTCTCAGCAGGATCAGTGCAGTCCATCCTAAGACACTGACTGGAAAGGCAGAATGCCAGTGTGCTTGCCTATGGACCCACAGGGGCAGGGAAGACACACGCAATGCTGGACAGGCAAGCAACGGGAAGTGATTCCCCAGGCTCTCATGGACCTCTTACAGCTCACAAGGGAGGAGGGCGCTGAGGGCCAGCCATGGGCCCTCTCTGTCACTATGTCCTACTTAGAGGTCTACCAGGAAAACATATTAGAACTCCTGAATCCTGCATCTGAAGACCAGGTGATCCGAGAAGATTGTCGAGGAAACATATTGATTCTGGGCCTCATACAGAAACCCATCACTAGCTTTGCAGCACTTCCTGCCAGCCAGTCGAAATCTGCGCTCTTCCCGCAGGCATGCTGCCCTCCTGGTTAAGGTGGATCAGCAGAACACTTGGCCCCATTTTGCCACGTGAGGGGAAACTCTACCTGATTGATTTGGCTGGCTCAGAGGACAACTGGCATACAGTACCCGCCTGACACCATAGTTATTACAATATTATTTACTATAATCCCTATGCTCTACTTTATATTCCTGTGACTATTTTGTAACTACCAGTTTGTAATTCCTAATCCCTTTAAGTTTTTCACCCAGTCTCCTAATGCCTTTCCCCTCTGACAACCATCAGTCTGTTCTCTGTATCTATGAGTCTTAAAACAGTGGTTCTTAAAGTGAGGTCCACATACCAACAGCATCAGCATCCCTAGGAAATTTATTAAAAATTCTCAGGCCCCACCCAGACCAGCTGAATCAGAATCTCCAGAGGTGAGGCCCAGCAATCTGATTTATAATCCCTCCAGGTGATTCTTCTGCTCACTGAAATTTGAGGATCACTACTCCAGAAAAAAAGCATTTATCTGGAAGTGGCAGAGACATAGATTAGGGAAGATTTTCTACTCATTTATTCACTTCTGTTCTATTGGGGAAAAAATTATATTAATGAGGGATGTTTTTCAATCACCTACACATCTTATTAGGTTGTACTAATTTATCAGCTGAATCAACTTCTGCTTGTGGAAAATCCAAAATGGAAAAACTCCTATTAGTTTGTTTGTGTTTTTTTTTTAATATATTTTATTAATTTTTTACAGAGAGGAAGGGAAAGGGATAGAGAGAAACGTTGATGAGAGAGATACATCGACCAGCTGCCTCCTGCACACCCACTACTGGGGATGTGCCTGCAACCAAGGTACATGCCCTTAACCGGAATCGAACCCAGGACTTTTCAGTCCACAAGCTGATGCTCTATCCATTAAGCCAAGCCGGGTAGGGCAAAAATTCCTATTTGTGAAGCCAATAATATAGGAAGATAGCTATATTACTAGTTTCTGACATCACTGGAATAAAATAAAATGAGCACATGGGTCAGGAATTGAACTTGGCTCTACTGTGTAAGCTGAGGGAAGAGAACTCAGACTCAGAGTCTTGATTGTCTCATCTATCACTGAGGGTGACAGCAGCCGCCTTGGCTCCTCACAGGTCATGGGGAGGAGCAGTTGACACACAGACAGCATACTACTTATTGCCGTATTATTAGTCCCAAGGTTTCTTAAAACACCAAAATGCCTCCAACAAGTTAATCAACTCACTCAGTTTTACAGAAACATCATCATTGCACAAAAATCGTCCCAGAAAACTCCTCCTAGGAGAAAGGGCTCCTCCCAGGAGCCTCGACACATGCCTGCCCTGATCACTTTTACTACTGAGCTGAAACGATGAGCTGGTGAATAAGTGCAAGTGATTTCTTTCCACCCATTCCCAAGCCCTCCCGCCCATCCACCTCGAGCCTGCTTTGTGTGGCGTGTCTCTTTTATGGTCTGTGAAAGGCCTTCTTCTTGTCTCTCACCTCCCTGTCCTCAGACAACAAAGCAGCCTTTTCTAGTTGCACAAAGTACTCGTTGCTTTCTTGATCCATGAGAAGATGTGGAGCAAAAGAACAATAATGTGCTGCTTCTTTCTGCTCCAATAAAAAAAAAAAAAAAAAAAAAAAGAGTTATGAAACAGAAGCCTGGGGCCAAAGCAGGCTCCCTGTCGTGTGTTTTGACAAAGAAAGAATTTCTGTACGCACAGTCGCTGGGCAGATGGCAGTAAGTGGATCCATGTGGCACAGATCATAAGGCTCCTGCCCTGTTGATGGGACCCAGCTAGGTGCTCAGAATAGCAGGCAGGACTCTGGCCTTCCATTCAGAAACCCCTAAATCCACCCCCATGAAGAGGGGTGCAACTACCTGCAGCTGCATGGAATTGGAGGCCCCTGAGGCCGGCCTCAGCTCCCTGTCCCACCAGGCCTGCCAGGGTCTCCATCTACCTACAGGAAAGCTATTGGGACAAATACAGGTGGATTCTCAGCCCCCCTTCACCTCCTGAAATACTGATTTAGTAGATCTGAGGAGAAATCCTGGAATTGGCCCCTTTTTATTTTTTAACCTTTCTTGATTAATTCTGATGGCCAGCAACATTTGGGAACCAGTCTTACAGCCATCTAAAATATTTCTGTCTCTGAAACCTTGACTCTCTCTGTTCTTCAGGAGGGCCCTCTAAGGGAGCCTGTCCCAATATGATTAGTCCCTTTAAACACCTTCTCTCATTCCCCCAAACGTGAGGAGGGGTCAGGTCAACTGCATCCAGCTCCAAGTTGGTCACTTACTAGCCCATGTACTTGGGAAGGTGACTTAAGCATTTGAGCATCAGGGTCCTCAGCTATAAAATGGTTGCTCTTCTATCCTCCATCCCTTCCATTTTTCTTTCCTCCACTCTGCTCCCCACACCTCTCCCTCTTTTGCCAGAAACAGCACTGGACTGAGGGCAGGTGTCCTTATGTTCTAATCCTGGCTGAATAACCAACCAGAGGTGTGACTCGGGGCAGTTATTCAGAATTCTGGACCTCATTTTTCTCATCTGTAAAATGAAAAGATCAGAATAGACTGTCATTGCCTCTAACCTCTAGTCAATCTCTTCTCCACTATGGAGATTCATAGTAGCCTTTGCTCTGAAAGTCTAAGTATGCCTTCACCATGCCTACATATCCTCTCAGAATAGGGAGACTAGGCCAGTGTCTGCATCTTGCCTGTAGGTGATTTTTTTAATGTATTTTTATTGTTGATAGTATTACAGATATCTCCCATTTTGTAGGTGATTTTTTTAAAAAGAAAAAGAAATAGCTTGAAGAAATTTCAGAGTCAGAACCTTCAACATTAGTGTGAGTTGATAGTGAAGTTTTTGAAGTTTCCAGTTATAATTGTGGATTTATTTCTTCTTTCCATTCCATCAGTATTTTCTTTATGTATTCTGAATATCTTTTATTAAGTACGTATATACTTAGAATCATGTCCTTTTAATAAATTGACCCTTTTCTTATTATGTAACATACCTCTTTTTTTAAAATATATTTTTATTGATTTCAGAGAGAAAGGGAGAGGGGAAAAAAAGTGATAGAAACATCAATAATGAGAAAGAATTAATGATCGGCTGTCTCTTGCACACCCCACTGGGGATTAAGCCTTGAATCTGGGCATGTGCCCTGACTGGAAATTGAACCATGTCCTCCTAGTTCATAGGTTGAGGCTCAACCCCTGAGCTACACGGCCTGGCAAAATCCTTCTTTATATCCAATAATAGTTCTTGCTCATCCTTTGTGCTACTTTTGTCTAGTATTTTCCTTCTGCATATATTATAAACCCCCACGCAGGTTTTCTTCCCTACCCCGAGTATCAGATGGCTTTTACTTCTACCCCTAGCCCAGTGGTAGCAATTCTTTCCTAGGATCAGGGAATACGAGAGTTTCCTTCCTCTCCTAACCCCCTCTGTCAGAAGCATGTGGCTTTTGCTTCATATGATAGGATCTGGGAAGCAATTGGATTGCATGCCTGTGCAATACAGTGGGGAGAAAGAACACTCCCAAGTCTCCTACTTCACCCCGTCTTCTCTTGGTAGAAGCTCATACAAAAAGACCTGACAAGTATGGGCTCCCCTTGGGTCTGGAGTTTCCAGGGATTCTAAATTTTCATTCTAGAACCACAGTTGGCCCTCAAGAATTCATTAACATTTCAGCCCTTTTCTTATTTGTTGTTTTGGCAGCTCCTTTCCACCATACTGTACCAAAGGTGAAATGGTTCACCTCTCCTGTTTCTCCTCAGAAGACCTTCCCATCCCCTGGAATTTAGTTCAATTGACCAGGTTGAGACCTCAGCTCTCTAACAGGTTCAAAATATTCCATGACTTTTTTTTTCATCTTTGTCCAACTTTTTCTCATTACTAGTATGTATACAATAACCCCTTGTGGCTTCTTTGTAGTCTATAAAGAAGTGAAGTTTTATGATATTTATTCATTGAAATGGAATTTAGGAATTACCGTAAGCTAAAATATGTTAGATACAACTCTACTTTCACCCAAATATGTAGAATAGCTCTCACACTGAGCAATCTAATACTCTGTTCTTGCTTCAAATCTTCAGCAATGTATTCTAAGCACCACTCAACAATTTTAAATATCATTTTCTGACAGATGAAATATCATTTTTTGTCCTTGTTTTCTGTGTATTTTAGTAAGAAATCAGGAAGTCTTTTTCCAATAGTATATGGCTTTTTGTCTTTTTCTATTGTGTAAGAAACCAAGAGATTTTAAACAGGTATTAAGTTTATTAAAATTTCTTAACAAACAGGACTGATTTTTTTTATGACTTTAAATGTTTCTGAAAAACTGTAGAGACATACCTTCATGTTTTGAGTGCTAGGTTTTTAAATATGTTGCTAAATGTGATGGCTTTATATACCCATTTGGTATTATCTCAAAGCATGGTATAAACTTAGGAGGGTCCGCTTACAGATTGTGGGTGTGAATTCATATTTCAAATAGTCTTTCCCAATTTTCTGCTTTCACCAACTTCTCATTATATCTGATTGGATGGCCACTGTTTTCCTTTATAACATGTCTGGCTGATGCAACTCACTCCAGGAGGGGAGGTATTTCCCCTACTACCTTTCTGTTTACTGACACTTAAATTTCAGGATTATGTTCAACCCATGGCTTTGTTTAAGCCACTTGTTTATTTTGCGAGGATTATTTTTAAATCTATAAATCCTTTTGTGCCCATC